AAGCAATCACCAAGTTACTGTCATGGGTTTGTCCCATAACAAACTGCCAGGATGAGGTCATGGCACTGAGGTCACCCACTGAGCAGGTGGGTGCTGCCTCTTCACTTCCCTGGCTTTTCTCCCCATGGCCTTTGCAGGGGAGAGAAACCTGTCAGCAGATGTTTCAGACTAGTACTCTGGCATGTGAGAAGAACTGTAAAAATTGCTTTGGAAACAATATCTAAAATTAGTTGCTTCTGAAAGGAAAAAATGAAACATAATGCCACACATGTCACTGGACTCACCAGAGGCAGCACCTTACGTATGTTCTGCTGCCTCTCTATGGCTGATTAGCTGTATAGGATTTTTATCCCTCACCATAACAGACTTCAGGCAGCAGCTGGGCTTCTTTCCAGCACCACTTTTCAAACCCAAAGAAGCATCAGCTTGAATATGAAAACAGAATGCCAATATGATGCATGGTCTTTTCTCCACAATAGACAAATGCAAACCTTACATTAGGGATAGAAAGCAATTTTGATGTGCAATGACTATTGAAACAGGTCTCCCAAATTTTTGTTTCATATAAGGGAAGAATTATTGGCATAGAAAATCTGCTTAGTCCCTTCTTCACCTCTCTCCTGAAAAAGCCCACAATCTTTAAAACTGTGTTTCAAACTTGTTCAAAATCAGATAGGTAGATTTGTAGAATATCAGCAGATTTTAAAATACCTTTCAGAAAACAATGCTCAGATGTATTAGAGTTCTTTAATATCATAGCTAGTGCATTGTCATTCTCAGTTCAAATACTCTATAAAGTACCTTGCCCTGAAATTAAACTGCTTATTTATTGCCTCTTTAAGTACCAGTCAATATTAATTTCACTCTATATTTACATTGAATATTTCACCAGTAGTTGAGGGAGAGTGCAGACACTTCCTATTGCCTTTTGTTATCACAAATGGGGCAAAGAAAGACAGTCACATTATGCAAAGATTCTCATTATTCAGATGCAAAGACAAATCCCAGGTATGCTGTCCTTTACAGACAAAGACTGAATTCATAGTCAGATTTGAAACTTCTGCCTCTCTTCAAAAGAGCATCTCAGGCCAGACTCCTCAATCAAAAATTACAGAAGGGATTAAAAATTTGAAAGTAACAAATTTGTTTTTGACTGAACTAGTTATCTTACACCCTAACAAAGATCTGCTAGCAAAAGCTGCAATTCCATTTCAAATAGATAAAAGCCTTAGATATATATTTAATTGATATAATTTTATAGTGTTAAATATTTAACATCACAAAGTTTAAAAATAAGCTAAACAACTGATAAGAGATGTTTTCTTTGACATTATCCCTGTTCCTGGTTTGCTTTTGATTTAGAGAGTGTATTACAGACTTAACCCCAGAGGTTACCATGTTCAATTTCTGTTTCTCATCACCATACAGACAGGCTGAGAAGAAAACAGGTCAGAGTGAGAGGCTGTTAGTCCCAAAGTCTTCCTGCTTCCTTCCTTCCTTCCTCCCTCTTGCACAAGCCCATCAACCTTTCTGCTCTAAGGAGAAAGATCAATACAAGAGTGACTGTCATCTTTATTACATGACAAAACAAGCCTAGGAACAGCTACAGTGTTATTGTGACGTGTATGGGGGGAAAGACCTATCTTTTGTTGGATATTATTTCTCAGTTTCTCCTTTTTTCTTCCTTTTCAGTGCAGAACCACAGTACTCACTGCTTAGCACTGTTCCCCCAGTAGCTGTGTTCTCTGCAAAAGTCACGGAAAACGAATCTGAAATAGGATTTCTCTCACACTAATGGTTTGTTAGCATTGATTTCCTTGCTGTTTATTATCACTGGCAGCAAAGGTTCTTAAAACATTTTGTCTGGGGCAGAATTTGCATTAGGGATTAAATGCTCGTCCGTGGGGGTGGCTTCACTTCTGCTGTAAAGGTAAAACCCTCGCACTGGGCGCTAGAGGGCACAACAAATATCCTTTAGATACACAGTTTCTTAAAGCATTGATATAGTGAACTTCGTATCAATCCTAGGAAAAGGCGTAAGAACAGATCTTGCGCAGTTATATCCTAATATATTTCATTTATCCTAATTAATTTGTTTTCTAAGATTCCATCCCTTGCACTCTAACCCACAGTATGCAATTTGTATAGAAGAAAATGCACACGTACACACACAAATACAGTATTAGCATTTCCACACGAATTTATACAACAGCTATTGTGCATCACAACATTGTGTGCTGTGTCATCTGATAAAGTGGGAGGGGAAAACTTTCATCTAGTTCAACTGCTGAAGAAATTTGTGTTTATGACTCAACTATTTGCTGCCTTGAAACAACAAACCTGGCTGTTTCAGAGTAGTTTAGATGGAAGTGCTGAGCTCTCTCCTCCTGGATCCAACGACAGTGGGAATCGTTCAAAGCTGCACCAGGACAGGTTCAGACTGGACACTAGGAAGAATTTCTTTAGCAATCACTCAGTGTTCTTTCCCTCTAATCCTCCCCAAGGGATTTATGAACAAGAACCTCACCTTCTGCAGTGCATCACTACAGCACTCATCTGCTGTTGCACGGTAAATGTTTCAGCAATTCTTGACATAAAGACTGAAGCTTTCCTGTTCCAAGGTCATCCCAGTGCCTAAGTAATAAAATGATAACCACTTTCTCTCTTTTCCTTCACTAAAACATAAAGTATTTTTCTGCAGTGAAACAGCTTCAACAAGAACTGATGATGTACCCACTTCAGAACAAACAACTTGCAGTTTGATGTGGGGGGTCATTCTTTAAGAATGGGTGTTTGGTTCCCCTCAAGCTGAAGACAGAATTAAATCCAACTCATAAGCTTTCTAAATAGGTAGCCCAATAAGCAAATACTGCAGCTATTAAAAAAAAAAGTATTTCCAACCTCCTTTGCTATGTGCCCAATGCCTGCCCCAAGAAAATCAACAGAAAAATCAATTTTTATCAAGTTTCTTGATTAGATTTTCAGGGAATAAAAGTTATTCATCTTCTTTAGAGAGTTTGGGGCTACAAATAAAGAGTAAAAGTATTTTAGATAGCAGTAGGGAAGTGTACCTACAATACATCTGAAGAATAGTATTTAAGCTACAAACCTGTGCCAAATTCCTCCAACAGGTAAGTCGTTCATAGAGCATAAGGGTTGTTTCTAACCTCTATGAGAACTAAGACCAGCACAGTGCTCTGAATGCTGCTCAGGAGGTTAGACAAGTGAAAGTTATTTTGAGTCTCTATGAACCTTAAGAGATGCTTATGGAAGACAAAACAACCAGACTGGCCTCACTTTTAAAATAAAGGGCTTTGAGCTGTCTATCACCACACAGGAGTAAATCTTCTAATTATGACAGATAATTTCACACACCCATCAGCTCAATGCTCCATAGCAGTCAAAAAAGTACAAATTTTACATCAGGAATTATATGCACCACAGAGCAGAAAATCATCAGACTACTGGATATATGCAAGGCAGGTCCACAGTGTGAAAACTATGTGTAGAGTTGGTTCCCTCCCTTCAAGAAATGATACGGGGGCAAAGAGCACTGGGAAGGATTGAAAGTACAGAGCGGTTTCTGCAAACAGATCGCTCCCGAAGAACAGTCCTGGAAAGGGGTGGTTCAGCCGGCATACGCTGCAAGTCCACAAAATCACCAGCGGACAGGGGAAAAGAGCACGGACCGACCCTTCACTGCCACTCACAGTACAAGAACTACAACTCTGGGGTTTCAAATGAAACTAGATGCAGAGGAAAAAGAAGCCGGAGCCGTGGCTGCGGGCGGCGCCGATCCTGATCCCGCCCCGCACTGGCGCTGCCCTAGGGCCGGGCCGCCGGGAAGAGTTGGACTCGGTGATCTTTGTGGGTCCCTTGCAGCTCAGGATATTCAGTGATTTTATGAAGGGCCGCTCCCAGCCCCGCAGCAGGTGTGCTCCGGGCCCCGAGGAGCAGGTAAGGGCAGCCGGGCTGGCGCTGGGACCGTTCTGGAGCCACTTTCCAGAGGGCAGCACGGGACTGGGATTCACCCGGCAATTCACCTCGTACCTGGTCCTGATGCTTCTCACCAGCAAATCTCTCACTTGAGTTCTCAGGCAGTACCAGATTATTAAGAGTGAAGTTCCCCAGCACTCCCCAGCAATGGCAGGTAAGAGCAAACGCGGGTGAAAACGCTGCTCGCTCCAGGGTGGCCGCTGGGCACCTCAGGGATGGTGCCCCAGCTGTGTTAAGTTGGGACACTGAGGTCTTACTTTTCCAGACGACTGAAATTACCTGCAGTAAGTGATGCCTTGGAAAAGTCCAGTCTCTCTAAACACTCCGCCTAAGCGCCCTCAGCTCTATCAAAAGGGAAGAAATCTGGCATATTTGCAGAATCAAACTTAGCACTTTGGGGAGCTTGTCCATCTCCAGGCACTCCCTAGAGTTCCCTGTTTTCTGGGAGCTGGTAGGAACAGCAAAGAGGTAACTGCTCCTTGTATTCCAGAATAACATATAGACAAGGGTTTAAAAATTTTGCACACAGGTTGAATTTATGATAGCATTTGACCCACAAGTTTGAATTGCCATTTTTGCATAGCTCGTGTTTCATGGACACTGTGTACCCTCGTGTAATTGCCCCTTAACATTTATGTTGAAAATGAGCTGTTGTTTCATCAAATATTCAGTTCAGTTGCTACTAGTTTTCCATGACACAATAAAATTGCCTGTCACTTGACAGGTGTTGCTCCAGGCTGAACCTGTACACCAGAGAAACTGACCTCAGGAGATGCCTGGATTTTTGCCTTGGCAGTCAGAAAACAGGCGCTGCATGTTTTGCAGACCCTGTCGTGATCAATAATCCCTATAAATTTTGCTCTCTGGTTAACTATAAACAACTGCTACAGCATAGAAAGTATTTCCTTGTTGACTCAATAGGAGGGAGAGTGTTTTGCTGATGTAGGGCAGTGTGATCTGCTATGGAACAACCCCTCTGTCCACTGAGTTCCACCTAGGAAAGCCCAGTGTAGCACAGAACTGCTGGGCTGGGCACATACAGCAATCAGTGCCTCAGGAGTCACTCAGTGCTGCTGAGCAGGAGTCAAATGCTGCCACTGCCACTTCTGCTTTCACTGCTTCTGTGTCCTTGGGAAAAGACACTACAGAAAGAGCCAGGAATGAGCCCCAACTCTACAAACTGTTCTGCACCTGCCTCCTAGATTCCAAATGGTCTCCTGGTTTTCTTTCTGTCTCCAGGGAAAAACGTCCTGATAGTCTATGCACATCAAGAGCCCAAGTCCTTCAATGGGTCTTTGCTGAAGATTGCTGTGGAAGAGCTGACCAAGCAGGGCTGCAGTGTCACCGTGTCAGATTTATACGCCATGCAGTTTGAGCCCAGAGCAACAAGGAATGACATTGTTGGTGAGCCCAGCCAAAATATTCCTCTCTCAAAAAAAGTGACTTGTAAGGCCCCTGTCAGGTATCAGAAGGCTGAAAACAGTCTCCTGAAATCTTCCCCATGCTGAACAGCCCCAGCTCTCAGTCTGTCTTGATAGGAGAAGTGCTCCAGCCCTCAGATCATCAAGAGATTAATGAGAAACCTATTTCATTAATAAGAAACGTATTCGTGACCAGACATCTGCATTTCTACAAGGCCACTCCTGAACATGACCTTTGTATCACAGTGAGACTGCTGGGAGGAAGAAACACATTAGCACGTGTCCATAATCAGCCTCTAAAGTCCATTTCTCACGGAGAGAAAATGCCTTCAGATACCACTCTGGGACTTGCTAGAGTTGAGTTCACGAGGCTACAACTGCCCCTGTCTTCTGCTAGAGATGGATGATCTGCCTGTGGAATCAGTAGAGCTGGCCAATACTGGTTGCCCATCCCTTGGTGAATTCCCCAGTTTTAGAGGCTGGAAAGCAGCTCCATAGTGCTTACAAGTGCAGGATGGCTTCAGGAAGCCCTAAGACAGAGGCAGAACAATTAACAGCATTCTCTTAAATCTTCCACCTGCATGCCCAGAGTCCTGAGGCAAGCTTAGGTCCTCATATTGCACTTCCTGTGTTGCTAGAGGAAGGTGAAGCTTCAGAACTCTGAGACCCTACATTCCTCTCCTTTTTAAAATCAAGTGACCATCAGCTGGGATGGTGCTGAATATCCAACAAAGACAAGAACGTAGGAAAAATGGAAAGCAGTAACTCAGTTTAGAACTGTGAATGGCAACCTGCACTCAGCTCTTATCTGGCACTGATACTGCACAGGGGGCAAGGAATGACTGTTCATTTCTACCCACAGGTCACCTGCACAACTCAGAAGCTTTCAATTATGGTGTGGAAACCTGGGAAGCTTACAAGAGAGGAGGTTTGTCCAAAGACCTGGTTGAAGAGCAGAAGAAAGTGCAGCAAGCAGACCTGCTGATTTTCCAGGTCATTAGTTTAAACACAATTCACTTGTGACGTTGACTTTAGGTAATGGTACAGTAAAAACTACAGATCAGTAGTACAATTACCTGGGTCATTATTAGAGCAAATCCAGTAATTGAATAGCACAGTGATGCAGGTTGAAACAACAGCAATGCCACGAGCTCCCCAACACTGGGTCAAACTTCCTGATGGATGCACAAAGACATATGTGACCATGGATGCCAGGCAGGCTGGCAGAAAGCAGAAGAAGGATTATTTCCTGGTCAAGGAGCTGGGGGCAGGCAGTGAAGTCAGGGAATTGGGCTTTCCCAAGTAGACTGTTCTCATTTATTGCTGATTTGCAGAAATGCTACTGGGAATTGATAACAGAGCTTTAAAGCCCATCTCTATTCTCCACTATGCCAGCTCTGTCTCCAGTGTCCACAAATTGGAACGAACTGTGAAGGGAAATAGTAGCCTTACATTTCTTTGTGTCCCTGTTGGCCTTAGACATGGCGTGGTGGCATAATGTCAGCAGGGTTTGAAAAGAAGTCTCTCCTCTGATCCCCTGGCCTTTGTCACCAGACTGTCAGATCAGAGCTGATCACCAGATGTCAATCCTACTAATAAGATTTTCAATTCTTTTGCATTTCAGCCATAGGAGACATGATTCTGTACAATTCTAAGTCTGAATTAAATGGCACCCTCCTACTTCATCCTATTCCCACTTCATTCTGGATGGAAGCCCTCACATGCACCACAGTGTTGGGGTGCTGTAGATGCTCAGGTCTGACCCTGAGGTTACCACAAACAGAAAGCACTTCAGCTTCTTTTGCCAGGCATAGTTACTACCTCTACTGACAGAGAGCTGGAGAAGGTACATACAGGATCTGAGCAGGTTCAGAGGATTAGTCCTATCAACCAGGCCTAAATGTGGCCCAGACTCTCTGAGCTAACCAGGTAATTTTCTCTTTGCCTAGTTCCCCTTGTTTTGGTTCAACATGCCTGCAATCCTGAAGGGCTGGATGGACAGAGTCTTGGTCCAAGGCTTTGCTTACGATTTGTCAAAGGTTTATGATGGTGGTTTGCTCCAGGTATGTTTTTGGAATTGTCTTATTAAGGTCAAGGCTTGCACCATGTTCTATGGGGGCTTGTTCATTCTTTTCCATTGTAGTTGTTTGGAGCTCTGACTTTTCACTGCTCTGAAATAATGCTTTGGTAACATGTTGAGTTATTTTCTGGGTTGTTCACACTGTCTGCAAGGCAAGAAAATAAGGAGACTGAAGCATTTCCTAAAGATTTAAGCAATCTCCTAGAGATCTTTATTGGCCCGCTGTGTGGGGTTTATCATTTATTAGGAGTATCAGAGTGTACTGTGGTAGCATACAGCCTGAAAACAGTTTAAATCAATTCATTTCCAATAATTACTGTCTTCCCACCACTATAGGATTCCTCTTATCTGTAATGACTGACACACTAGCTGTCCTAGTCCTGTTCTGGGATTAGATGTAAAGGTTGAACTATAAAACTTAATCAGACATCTGAAATACTTGTAGTATGAGCCTCTGTCACAACTCTCTACTTTGAATCTTTTCCTCTCTGTAGCTTTTAATTTGGCAGGAAGCAAAATGCATGTCAAATCATACATTTTTGATTCCCCACTGCACTGGGAATATCCCTGGAAAATTCTGGCCCACTATCTCTGATTGATCTCATTTGGTAACAAATGCAGCATCAAAAAGCAATCAACATTAGTTTCACATATATTTCACTCATGTTAATCTCTATTAGTTCTGATGTTCTTAACAATTTCAAACATTTCAGTTTCTTTAAGTTTCAGAAATGGCTGCCTTGCTAACAGAAATAGGCATAATCCCCAATGATCACAGCTTCAGATGGAGTACAGGCTCAGGACATTTGGTATGCTGCACTGGAAAAATATTAGTTCGATTACAGAAGCTAAAACTGTGATGAGAGAAGCTGAGCACATGGCTAATACCATAATCACAGGAGCAGAAGAAACATGGTGATTAAGCAAGCCCAAGTTTGAAGGGGGACTTTAGCAAAAAATTTCTGCAGCCAGAGAGGACAGGAATAGAGATTTTCACAGTAACAGAGGGCTTTCCAGCTACAGTTTGCCAAATGTTGCATAAGGAAGAAAAAGGATCAGCCCTCTTTCATACAAGGGTGTCAGACACATAATTGGTTTTCTTTTTAACCCATCTCTGCACAAAGCCCAGACACTCAGCCCATTGATGCAATTGTCTGACATTTTATGACAGAACTGCCAGTCCTTGAAACATCTGGGAGGGAAGCGGACACCCCCTGCTCTAGAAATTCATGCTGTCCAGGTTCCCCCAAATATCTTTGTAACTATATAGCCACTCTACTTTAAACATGTCTAACTCAAGCACTACTTTCCTAATTCTAGGACAAATTATCCTTGTTTTCTTTCACTACGGGAGGAAGCAAAGAGAAGTATGCAATCAGGGGTGATATTCGCTATCTTCTATGGCCCATGCAGGTATAATATATGAATATTTGGTTACTGTTTGCTTTAATTTTACTATTCCAGCTATTTATAAACAATTGTTTTTATTGATTATTTTATACGAAACATAATAAGAAATAATTATGTTGCCTGTTCCAAGCATCTGCAGGTTATAAACTGGGCTCTAAAATCCTGAGATTACTTTAAAAATCTACAGAGTTTTGAAGTTGTTTTGTCCCCCTTCCTCCAGCTTGCAATCTGGGGAAAGCTTCTGCTGTCAGCTTTTACAGTGTCTCTGGTGTTACGGGATTTCCTTTAGCCCTAGCATGCAGGATTTCTCTTCCCTGTGGTTACCCAATTTGTGAAGGATGCCATGATCTCCTCCCCACTGCAGTTACCAGCGCCTCACCCCTGAGGAGCTGTCCAGCTGCACAGCTCACAAGTAAACATGACAAAAACACGAAACACAACTCTGAATTCAGTAACACACAGAGAGAAAATGGCAAGCTGAACTTCCACAGGCTCTAGCCTTCATGCAGGATCATACGGCTAAGCCAGAGACAAAAGCTTAAAACCAAAATAAACCAACCAACCAAAAAAAAATATCCAAGAAACCAACATAGATGTGAAGCATACTGCAGTTCAAGAAGAATCTGATGAGGTTCAAACCAGACAATGAACTTTAGACTGTCCCTTATCCTTGCAAATTGAACAGCATACAGCATCCACAGAGAACAGTCTTATGTGTTTAACAGCAATTTACTTCACTTCTCCTGATAAATACACAGGTTTAGAGAACCTGACTGATATTGGGTCAAAGAAACAGAACAGATTTGAATCTTCCATGTTCTTCAAATGAAAGTAAGAGGAAATATTTCCTGAGGCATTTCTTTTTTTTGTTTTGTTTTGCATCCAGCATGGAATCATGCACTTCTGTGGTGTCAAAGTCCTTGAACCTCACATCTGTTATGCTCCAGAGAATGTCTCTGAGGAGAAGAGGAAGGAGATGCTGGCTGCCTGGAGCCAGCGTCTGAAGACTCTTTGGAAGGAAGAGCCCATAGACTGCTCTCCTGAGTGGTATTTCAAGTAGTGTTCAGGTGCAAGACTACAGAGAGAGAAGATTTTCTTTTTCTCCATTCTTTTTGATGCTCTATCTAAATACCTGAACACTAATCTCCTAATTCCAATATATTTTAAGAATCTTGAGTACTACATCTAGCAGTTTAACTGACAACGTGGCATTTATCTTCAGTGATTCCCAAGGGATTCCCTTCAGGGATGCGTGCAAAACTCTTTGTTGTTCTCCTTGCTCACATAAACAGTGTCATCCTGCTTCCCTGTGCTTGATAACACATGATATTTCATGACAGATGAGACCATTGCTGCTTGTGAAAAAGTAAAGTATATGGCCAAGTTTATTTTAACACTTTCTTTTCCTTTACCAGGGAATATTTTGCCCATACCCAACTTGTCATTTAAAAGCCACTCGTCATTGGTTGTGAGAGCACACTTGTGCCTTTGAGCAACAAAACCAGATCATGAATAGTATTGCAAAAGGATGTACAGTTGTAGAGTGTCCTAAACAGCTGGAAAGCCTTGTGGGCAGGCCAGGCTTATAGATATATTTACAAAGCAATGTTAAAGCCATAACAGATACCAGAAAAGTGGGGGGAAAAAAAAGCAGATTTTGAATATTGGTATATGCATAAATTGCCTTCCTTGGTAGAGTACAATTTCCATTTGTACAGTATTTGTAAAGCAGCTTCCTAAAATCAAAGGGACTTCTCCATTTAGATTACCCTTTGTAGATACAAAATGGAATCCTGGTTTTTTCCTGCCCTCTCACACCAATCAGATGTTCCATTTTACTCCCATATGAAACGAAGGACCACATCCAGCAGAGACATTTCCCAGAAAGCAGAGCTGCCCCAAGCTGTTGCAAATGTCTGCTGTGGGGCACGTGAGCCAAAGTTTTCAGGTTCCACAAGGGTACTGCTCTTGCAAGGCTTTGGAAGCCATCAACTGTGCAGTGACAGTGGGTGGTGAGCCAAGGGTTCTTGTCCTGATGCTCCTGCAGTGTGTGCTCTGCAGGGCATTGTGCTGGGCTGCATGTGTGTTCTGACGCATGCCTTTCCAAAACTCAGGAGAATTTTACCACATAGAAAACCAACAGAGATTTGTCTGTGGTTAGTAAGGAGAGAGAAAAGAAGTGGCAGTATTACTGTCTTAGCAGCACTGGAAATGTTACAGCCACTTTGAAATAAAGAATAATTGTCCTTCTAAATCACATTATGCTAAAAGTCAAATGTCACCCCGCCAAACCAACACTGATTTCATGAGAATGAAACTAGAATTAGGTGAGTAACTTGTAGCTGCACTTCAGGCTGGGGAAAAGGGTGCAAAGGAACATACTTTTCCACATTTAGTCTGGGGATTTTTTTTATGTGGCTGGTGGTCCTGCTCTCCCACAGATGTCTAGGCAGTGGTCTGATCTTTTCCTATGACATTTTTTTCTGGAAATCATGATGGTATTTTTTTATTTGGTGTTCTGAAGTGGCAGGTCAAACGTGCTTGCAACCGCAGAACAATAGAGGAAAACAAACAGATACCCATTGGAACTATGTTACCAAGAAGCCTCATAGCCTAGAGAAACCAAGGTGCCTTCAATCCAGGTTTCAAAAAAACTGACATTTAAAGCCAGGTGTAATTCATTATGTGGTTTAATATTGTGTTCCTGAAGCAATATCACTGAGGTGAGCTGCCTGCTTGCAGAGGAATATACTTTGTAATAAACTATTCATCAAAACTTTGTGCTGAAGAGAGAAACAGCCAATAACTAATACCATGCACAATGCAAGTTCTACTTTTCTTTTCTTTTTTTTTTTTAAGAAAAATCCTACTGTATTATTGGATATCTTAAAGCCTAAAGAGGCTATATTCTACAGAAAAGATGCAAAGAATTTAAGCTGATGCTACACTCAAGTCAGTGCTGGATAATTGCCTCATCATTCTAAGAGTATTAAAATGCTCAGTTTCATGCAGCTTAAATACACAGGAAGTCTGATATGTTTAGAAAACTCAGGAAGGAGACAAAAGACCAGCTTCTTCCCTAGGACTGTGGAGCCAAAATACCCCATAGCTTTCTCTGTATTACCCTTGATAAAATAAGAAATCATTTTGTTGACATCCAACAGAGAGAATAAACCAAGACCTAACCATCTTGTCCACATAACAGATTGCCAAAACTGCAAATACAGTTGTACCCCAGTGAGACACACAGAGCAAAGGTGGTTCTTCACAGGAATTCAATAAGAATCTGTTGTCATCTTATTGCAAAGTTCCATACCTTCTCAGTGATTTCTCATGGGCAGTTCCTCACAGCACAGCCGACAAACTCCTACTCTCTTTTGTAGCACTCGTCTTCTTATTGGACACAACTATGGCCTATTAAGGGCAGGCCTGTTCCTAATCTTTGGTGATTAGTACAGCTGCAAGTCCTCAGGTGTGAGACTACCTTATGCATTATTTTCTTATATTCTATCCCTCCACAAGAATCCAAGAAAAATTAAATCCTCTCGATGTACTCTACACATACACCTTTATATTTCTGCCATCTGTTGCTAGGCCACAGCTCAGCATCTATGGGAAATGTCAGGTAGTGCTCTTTTGAACTTAACTGCAGTGAAAAGTTGTGGCTGCAGTCAGTCACCAAACACAGTGGTTCCAAAGGCCCTTGGAGTCTCCCATTCTGCATTCATACTCCTCAGGGGGATGCAACCCTTCTCCACAAGCATCCGCTCTGTTAGGTACTGCAGTTTCTCCCACCTCAGCCCTCTGAGGGTTTAGAGAAATACAATATGAGTTTTGGTGCACAGATGATGCAAAATTAACTAAGATCACAGCTTCTTTCTCTAAAATCAGCTCTACAGCGTAATATTCATGGCTTTTGGACAGCAGGGGGATCAATCAGACCAGATAATGCTTTACTTTTAGATTAAAAGGTACTTTACAGAAAGATTATAGACAAATATTTTCTTGGAGTTTTGCCCACAAATCATCCCCCTCCTCAGAGTTCTGGACAGTGTATAGAGCCCAGAATTAATATTCCAGCATTGAGTCATTTCCAGAGCTGGAAACCTCCTGTGTGGAAAAATGCTTAATCTTGCTGGGCCCAGCAGAGTGTTAAGCCAGGGACAGACAGAGAATGATTATGCTCAGGTCCCTACAGAACTTGAAATTCATCAGAGAAATGGAGAGGGAAAAGTCTCTAAAGAGATACCTGATGGCAAACTACGAGCGGAGAGGAAGGAGACTTAATAATTAAACCTTTGTTGGCAAAGTTTACTACTACTGTACAGCCCTTAAAGTTAATACCAGGAAAACAGATACAAAGACACCTTCCCATTCTGGCACAAGCTTACTTTTTAGTTAAGATTAAGGAATGAGGTAAGCATTCCATGTAGCCTTGGTCTAGCACTGTGGAGATTTGCTGCTTTTTATTCATCAGTCCATACAATTTTTCCAATAGTGCAATGAAACCTGCAAATTTCACACACAGCAGTTTTCATCCTGCTGGCAAAAAAAAATCAGGTATATGTCAAAGATGTGACCTCTAAGCACATGCAAATAGATGGCAATATCTCCCTGTCTTTGCCTAGTACATGCTGGCAAAACCACACTGAATGAGACATATACCTTCCAAACCAAGCAATTCAAATAAATTCAGCCATCTCTCTTCCAGCCTTCAGCTCCATAAATAATGCAAAGCTCAAAATTAGAAAAACCAAACCAAAAGAAAGCTCAGCAGTTAAATGCTATCAAAAGTTTCCTATAATGTTTTGGGTTGTGGGAGAAGATTGAAACTGTACAATTGTCCCACCAGAGATATACCACATCTGAATTTGCATTTCCTTTATTCACCTGGTGACTGTCCCAGACTCTCTGGACTGCAGGTTCAATAATGCTCTCCTTGTGACACCTCACAGTGTGGATGGACACAAAATTGCTGCATTTAAACTACAGTGAGCTCAGTGTCACAATCAACATTTGGTCCTGAGCCTCCTCTTTACAGTAAGTGTGATCAGCCCTTGCATCAGGAATTGTCAGAGCATTAAACTCCTGTTCTCTCAATCCCAGCTGATCCAGAATGAGTGGAAAACAGGAATGTGCTGGTCCTGCATCAGTTCCACTCGTTCCACTGACAACTTTGTTTCCCCAGGGAAAACGACTGCACTCAGCTTTTTTTTTTTTTTTCCCGCCCAAGGTCTCGAAATGAAGCTGTTTATTAAGTTTGTCCATCATAGGGCAGTTTTGATACTCATCAAGAGTATCAAAGAGAAAACTTCATCTTGGAAGTGATCACCAAGGCTGTCCTATCTCTGCAAACCCACAGCCACCCGCATCCTTCTGTGTCCCTCCTGTCTTTCCCATGAGACACCTTCCAGAAGGCTGGAAGGGAGGAGCCCCTGCTCCCGGCAGATGCACGTGTGGGTGAGCACAAGGCACAAAGCAGACAGTGCCATCCCTGGAAGAGCAGATAAGGGTAGATGGGTGGTTTAGGAGTGCCCATACTGCATTGCTGGGAGAAATGAAGGACGAGCTCTGTACTTGGAGAAGAGGAGAGACCTAGAATAAAAAAAAAGGATCCAGAGATGATGTAGGTGTCCCACGTTGTCACAGCGGCGGGGGCGCGCTCCCGGCCGAGCGCGGCCTCGAGCGGAGCCGGAGCCGCGGGCGGCGCCGATCCCGATCCCGCCCCGCGCTGGCGCTGCCCCGGGGCCCGGGAAGGGCGGGCAGCGGGGGCCGCCGGGAAGGGCCACTCTCAGCCCTCCACAGATGTGCTCCGGGTCTGGGCAGCAGGTAAGGGCAGCCCGGCTTGCGCTGGGCTTCGGAACGCCGGGGGCTGTTCCGAAGCCGTTTTCCAGAGGGCGGCACGGGAGCGGCGCCATGCACCCGGCGCAGTCCCGGGCCGAGGCGGCCGTGCCGCGGGCACCAAGCGCCGGTCCGGCGGCCGGAGGAGAATTCCTGCTCCGGGGCCAGGGCCGGGAGCCGGGCGCTTCCCTCCCGCTCCGGCGGGCCACGCTCGGCCAGTGCCCGGCTGTGCTGAGTGC